CCCCAAAACCCCAAAACCCCAAAACCCCAAAACCCCAAATAAGTTAAATATTATTGCACAAAATCTGATAAATTATTATGAAAAGACTGATCGATATCTATTACTTCAGGGAAGCACTGGTTGAGATAGAGTTCCCTAAAGAAGACTTCTTCTCCAGAAGAGCTAATCTGGAAGACATTAAGGAATTTATGTGTATTCTTATAGATTACCCCCAGATTTATGAACTGTTGTTAAGGCTTTATGACAAGAGGGGGCTTAAGGAGAAGAGGAGGGGGAGGCAAGAGAGACAAGGCCTCAATCCGATATTTTCTAATATAGATTCCTTATTTGAGATCTTTGAAGCGGGGGATAGACTTAGTCATAGCGTGATGAAGCATGAAGCAAAGGAAGAGAAGGAGAAGAGTACGGATTATGATGAAGGAGATATTGGTAAGCTGGGAGAAGCTTTTGGCAGGTTTGAAGCACAGCTACAGAACCTTGCTGGAGGTATAGAGTCTAATAAGGATTACCTTGGTAAAGCTCTCACAGAATTTTTCAAAGAGCTATCTATAGTAGTTGCCAAACTAGAGTTTGAAAGAACAAAGGAGGGGGGATTTCCTCAGAATGTTACATGAAGACAGTCAAGAGAGTTAATAAAGAATTTGTCAGCACAAGTTTCGATGATCCTTAACCCTTGGTTCACATTTGAGTATGATTTTTCGGGCTCTAAACGCTCTAAATATCTTAAAAATCCCTACATAATCGAACTTGATGAGACTACTGAAAACTTCTTGCACGATCTCAAATTAGAGCTCAAAAGACAATGAATCCTTCAGAATGACATTACTGACGAGTAACCGCCTTTACCTCACACTGTATAGGATCTCTATACAAAACATGGAAGAGGATCCGAGTCTACTGAAAATGGATTACGAGCTATGTCCATCCATGATAATAATCTGGGTTAGGAATGATGCAAATTTAGCAAATTCTTCAGAAATATTTGAGTTTAACCTCAGTAGTTTGAGTGATAAAAGCCTGTACGTGTTCATAATTTAAGCTTTGCTTCAGCTCAGTTCTGCCTGACCAAATCTTTGTAGTGTTCATAATATTTCTAAACTTTGCTAATTGATGGGTTAATACAAAATTTTAGGAATTAAGCAAAATAATGAACTTTCTGGCTCTCTTCTTCCTATTAAGTAAGGGTTTTGCTATATTTCACTCGCAGAGCTTTAGTAAGTATGAGAAGAGAGTCTTAGTAGAAGAATAGCAGTATAAATAAAGAAGTTTAGATCGTAATTAATCGGTAGGAATAATGACTATCTTTCCTTATCTCCTAATTCATCTCTAATGATATAATCTGGTTGATAAAATAGCTCTTCAAGCAGTATGCCAGAAATCTCAGCTTTAGGTTATCCATAGATCTCAGACTAAAATTGAGTGGTGCTTCGAGAAATTAGGCTCATGTTTATAGCCAATTTCTTCATTTTCTTATGAAAACTTTAGTTGAGTAATACTTTTGTTCAACTTGATCATTCTTTTAATAGTGAGGAACCCAAACACGACTGCACATATGAGCTCACAACTATCATTACATTCAGAAACACTGTGAAAAATGAAGGCATTTTCGAAGTAATTACAAAGAATAAAGACAAATGGGGTGGAATCATGAATGGAAATGATGTAAGCCTCCAAGTATTTAAAACATTTCAAACAAAGCATTAAAACTTACCCAAAAGGACTTGTAAACAAATTTTGTATAGATTGATTTTGATGAAGAATATTTTACCCAAACAGCATGGAATATTGTTGAAAACCCAGTCCTGCTCATTTACACTGAAAAGGTCACAATTCCTGTTTTCAAATACTTAAGCAATAAACCTGTTTGGAAATCATCCATGCAGTCAAAAGAAGAGAGAGAGATGATTGATGAGGACATTACGTATGCAAAACAGTTGCAAAAACAGTTTGATAACGAAGAAAAGGAAGAAGTTCAGACTAAAATCACAGATTTTTATAACAATTCACCAGGTAAATCCTCTCCCAATGATGTCGAAATGAAAGACGATAATGATTGTGAAGAAGTAAAGTATCTCTCCCCAGATGAACAAGACGTCGAAATAAAGCCAGATGAGTGGCGATGTACAAATTGCACATTCATAAACCCAAAAAGCAAATATTACTGTGAAGTTTGTCAAACTAAAAATACTAAGAGAGATGCTAATTCGATTAAGGTAATTTTTCCGCATCCAAAGAGGCTGAGGTTATCTAGACTCCCATATCGGCAACGAAATAAAATACTTGAAAGAGACATAAGCCCTCTTAAAAATGTTAAGCCTACAAGAGACAAATCTCAAGGTGAGCAAACCAAGAATGATCTTTAGATTTCAAAGATAACGACTCTCGATTCCAGTGAAGATTTTGTAAAAGTGTAAGTATCTCTCAGAATTATGTCCTAAAATTTTGCTAATTCTCCTCCCAAAGTGCCAAAATCTTGTCTCTAATAGTTATAACTATTCTTCATTTTAGATGAGTCAAGTTTCATATTGCCACAAATGATACAAAAGGAGAGAGGACTGTGATATTAAAATGCCTCATTGAGAAATTTGTAAAAAGAAGTGAAACAAAGAGTAAGACTTAATAAGAACATTTTCTTCAATTAATTAATAACTATTTAATTCCTAAATTACTCATGAACCAATTTAGTTGTAAAATCTTTCTGCATAGCAATTGTTAACCCTATAGTTCAACTAAATGAAGAACTTGCAAAACAGAAGGTAAGTATTTTACCAGTCCAGTGGTATTAAACATTAATATCTTTATGAAATGAGAACCTTGATCATATTACGGATTTAGAAAAATCAAAGAGCAAGAAGAGAGATAGCAAAAATAATGAGAAAGTTAAGAACGGAGAAATGGCAGAGAAATTAGACTCTCTTAACATTGATGATACCCAAAAATTAGTTAATAAGGAAGGAGTAATTTTATACCTCTAAGAGTTTAGTATACATGGGTATGCCAACACTGCAAATTGTAAGCACTCTTATTACTATCTTCTCTCAAACTATAAATTTAGTAAAGGAATAGTTCCATTCAAATAAAGATGAAATCACATCTGAGCACCTAAATCCAGCAGAGAAAGACTACTGCCAGACTTGTAGTAAGAGAAGAAAAGTTTGAATGGTATCTCAATGGTTTAATTTAATAGATAAAATGCGAAGAATGCTCCAGCTTCATGACAAACAAGAGTAAATTCGACCAGCATACTTGTAAATAACTAGTCCAAATTAGATTCGTCAATTCTAAAACTAGCCACAGGGGTTTTGGGGTTTTGGGGTTTTGGGGTTTTGGGG